ATGATATATGGTTCTTCTATAAAATATAACTTTAATAATTCTATTCTTAAAAGATTTATGAATCAATTGTTAAAATAGTTTAACTGTTTAATAGTTTAATTGTTAAAAAGATAGTTTTAATAGATTTATGTTTGATAGTTTCAATTGTTAAAATGATATCTTTGAGCTATGGAATTACCTACTAATAGGATGGTTATTTTATTTTGAACTACCTTTTTGATTAATTTCTCCTTTTTACTAACAAATATGTAGCTCTTGCAGTAATTACAGAAAAGAAAGGAATATTCTTGAACGTCATGGACAATCTTAGAAATAAAAGATAGATGTATTGTGATAGAGTTAGTATAAAATATTTGGATGGAGTAGATGATTTTTTAAATCATGCCTTTTCTGGAAAAAAACCTGGAGAAAAATTGCATGTCCTTGTATGGACTGTGTGATTATCCATCAAGTAAATCGGGCTACATCATATGATCATCTTGTGGTTAATGATATTATACCGTCATATGATACTTGGTTTTGTCATGGGAAATCTCTAACGAGATCAAACAATGCTAGAGAAAATAACTGCAACCAGTCAACTCTAAGGGGCGACGATATGCGAGGAATGATACATGATGCATTTGGAGGTGTTACACAGTTTATGGATACTGAGATTAATTATCTGATCACGTGTATTGCTTGTCCAAAAATCATAGCATTGTCTGCCCACCTGTATTGTCATGTTGTTGAATTTCAAGTGCAATTTAAAGGGTGAATATGCGCAAAAATATAAGACTAAAGACGCTTTACTAAAAAATAGACCAAGTCGTATGCCGAGGGATCAATGGAGTGATCTTGTCTCTTATTGGCTTTCTGATAAAGCTAAGGTATCAACCTTGAAAATTCTCCTAGTCTGCACATTTTTAAAGCATTTTGATTTTAGGTATGCTCAATTTTTGTTTAAAATTTATAAGATATCATTTTAATATTTCAATGACAGAGACGTACGCAAGCAAATAGAAACAATAGGGCCAAGCAAACGATGCCTCATACAGGAGGATCAAAAAGTATTGCCACCTTGATGAATGAGCAGGTGAACCTGTAAAAACTACAAACTATAATATTTTAAGCTTTTCTTGTTATGCATATATGATATCATTTTTATTGTATTAGGCTGTAAACGGGATAGTGCCTACACGAGCAGAAATTGTACTATTAACTCATAAAAAAGTAAGGATGGTAGGCCACCGGTTGATGATTTTGTCAAGACAATCGTAAGATTTATTCTTTTTTTTTTGGTTTGATGACTACGTCAAACAATATGTATTTTTTCCTATTCATGAATTCCAAAATGGATTTATTGTGTATTCTATGGTCAGGAAATGATAAATGAAAGGATGAGCAATAGTGAGAGATCTACTGAGCAACCTCCTTGTAACGTTGCTTGGGAAGGCGTGTGTATTCCCAGGTGTTGGGAAATGAAAAAAGTGAGTATGTTCGTGGTTTAGGACTTGGTCCAACTCCTTTTGTTCTGTGGGGGTAGTAGGTCTTCCTTAGGAAATATTGCTGCAGATGATTCTTCTAATGAGGTTATACAAAGGTTACAACAACATATGATCGAGTTAAAGAAGAAACGAAATGAAGAAATGAATATTATGAAACAAAATCAGGAGAATATGCAATCAGAATTACTCCAAATGAGATAATTAATGCGCAATTATGCTCCTAATGCATCTATGACTCAAAGTAGCAATGTCACCTTAGGTGAACAGGTAACTCCATTTCATAAACTTTAGGTATTTTAAATGAAATTATAATCATATAAAAGTATTGTAATCTAACATGTTAATATTTATTAGATTCCCGATGCCAAAAGTGGACATGAACGAGTACCACAAACATCAAGAATACATAGTGCTGCTGAAAATGCTCAACCTTCTCATGGTACTACTCATCTTTGTCCTTTGTCACTATTGTTTGAGTTTTCCTCCTTCGATTTTTATAAATTTGTTGTTGTATTTGGGCTTATAATTCATGTCACATGCATTTTGTACATAGAACAGTGGAGGAGTCAATTCCCTANGACTTTCTGCACTTTTGTGGCTACTCCGGGAAGTTAATAACTATAAGTCTGTTCTATTCTGCATTGTTTAAAGTTTCTAGCAAACTGGTTTGTTGAGCTACAATTTGGGACTAATTTATTTGGTTCTTGTATAGTTGCTTCAGTTGCATGATTTAGCTGAATGGTTTAAGAGTGCTCGGACACTGCACAATTGGTTTGCTCATATGATTTCCAAATTTTCCCAAATGTTCTTAGGTTCTTCTCCTTCTGAATCTGAGTATCTCAGTGGAGTGATGAGATATCTGGCAGTGAACATTTAGCTTTCGAGTTAAGATCTTCCTTTCATGTGGTGCTCCACATGTCGTGTAAATGCCCTCATCCTGAATTCTCAATCTGTGATCTTCTTTTAGAAATTCTAATCCTTAGATTAGGATTTTGACTTGTCTAGGTTTAGTAGCTCCTTCCAGCACTAGGAATCTGTGAGAAAGAATGAAATTCATTTGTTCCTGCAAAAGAAAATGCACTGGTAGCTATAAAATCTACATTGTTAGCTATAACACTAGTCTCTTATTTCAGCACTTCATGTATATACTTTAACCTTTAACACAATTATTTTATAATTTCAGGTCATACAGTATGATGTTCGATGATTTAGCGGTTGGAAGATTTCAAAATGATGAAAAGTTGCGGAAATCATTTAAAGACCATCATTCTGGATTATTACAATGATGACATTGCTATTTAGTCCAAACAATATATTTTTATGTTTTAAGTTACTGTGATATTAATATTTTTGATTACTACTTTCTTTTGTTTGTTAAGATTTTATGAGATATATTATATTTTTTTAATTAATATTAATATATTTTATTATTTGGGTCATATTCTATACAAATGTAGTAACTATATATTATTAATTGTGGCCAAATTATTGCTATTATCGCTTATGGCTTTTAAAGCTATTGATTATTAGCGGCAATTTAGTTAAACATATTAACTATTAAAATGGACTCTAAAGGGCAAACTAAGATGTTTAAGAAGGGATAGTATTGCCTTTTTAATTGCAATAGAATAATTGCCATTAAAGATGCGAACTTTTAGCGACAACCATTTTGAATTTAGTGGTTATAAAAATGGATGGTAAAAAAGTATAGCTAGCCGTTTGGATTGGATTTAGTAACCATTATAATTGCCACAAACAATTGCCGTTAGAGATGCGAACTTTTAGCGGCGATTATTTTGAAGTTAGCGGCTATAAGAATGGATGATAAAGAAGTATAATTAGCTATTTGGATTGGATTTAGTGGCCACTATAATTGCCGCAAACCATTGCCGTTAGAAATGCGAACCTTTAACGGCAATTAGTTTGAATTTAGCGGCTATAAAAATAGATGCTAAAGAGGTATAGTTGACCGTTTTGGATTGGATTTAGTAGCCATTATAATTGCCGCAAACAATTGCCATTAAAGATAATAATTTTTAGCGGCAATAAACCATACCCTTTACCAGCTTTTGCGAGAAACGCCGCTAAAGGCTTTGCCGACCCCAACATCAGCGGCAAAACCCTAATGGCTGGTAAAAGATTTAGCGGCTATTGCCGCTAAAGCCGTTTTGTATTGCCGCTAAAGGTCTTTTTTGTAGTAGTGTAACATGTAACTTGTATTTTGGCACATCTTCCTTAGTTTTTTTCCTTTTAATGGTGGTATTAATACCTTGTTGTGCTCATTCCATTGGGGGGAGGAAGACTAACAAAGATATTGTCATTCTTTGTTAATGTCGTAATAGTAAAATATATAAGACATTCCCTTGAATATNCAACCTTAATTTGATGCACAAGAAATTAAAAGTTCCTGGAAATTGTCTTTAGGATACAATAATGCCAACAAACGATTGTATGAATTCAAATTTAGAGCATTCGCTAGGAATACAATGTATGTAACGTGACTCGAGAAGTTATGCGGTATTTCTGAGCAAGATCCTGAAAATCAATATGAAGAGGTAGAAGGACTTTTCTGTAGGTTCTTTGTTTGAAATCTGTTGTTTGATTGTGTCAGAAATAATTTCTTTTGTTGTTATCTTGAACCTCAATTACTCAAATGGTCGTTCAACTATCCCAAATTATCTTCTAAAGTCACTTTTCTTTAGTTTATAATAACAAAGTCGCTGAACTATGCCTAAGGTTACTCAACTAGATTTTCCAAATTTTGGATTGCCAAATACATATTTTACCCGCTAAGTAAATATTTATCTTCTTTTTATTTATTTTTTAACTTTCAGACGACACAAAGTTTATGTCACCGAAAAGTAGGGAGACTATCTGTATAGGGTAAAATATGTTATATTAAGTCGTGCAGCGAATATATATAATATAATTGAGTATAATTTTCAAGAATATATAATGTATATTATAAAAGTACCATTATTTAAATAATTATTTTTATATTACGTGCATGGAATATATATTTTACAACCTTTATTTTCTTTCATTCCGAATTGTGTGAATAAATTTTTAAATTTTTGTTGTTAATACTAAAATTATTATTACTAACAAACTATTCTAATTTTTACTATGCTCATTATTTTGTTATTCAGCATTATATATGCTTAAATACTTTTTATTTTTTTAATTTATAAATAATATTTATTTATTCTATAGGCAAGTCCATAATGTAAATTAAAAAGGAAAAAAATTATAATATTAAAAAGTTCAAAAAAATAAAAAGAAGATAAATGTTTATAATTTAGAGGGTAAAATAGGTGTTTGGCAATTCAAAATTTGAAAAATCTAGTTGAGTGACCTTGTGAGTGCAATAGGCATAGTTAAGTGACTTTGTTGTTACAAACGAAAGAAAAGTGACTTTGGAAGATAATTTGAAATAGTTAAGTGACCATTTGAGTAATAGACTCGTTTTGTAATGAGCCAAGAAATCAAATCCATTCGGACATGTCTCCAAGTTTAGGTCCCAGCTTCCAATAGCCAGCTCCTCCACCCCGCCTTAGAAATCATCTGCAAAATCATCATCTGGAAAACATTCATCTGCAGTTTATAGAGTTTGTAATGAGACTGAATACAGATGTATTTTCTCAGTAGTGTACCTGAATTATTCTTCCACATGAAGAGCTTGAAATCGGCATTTTGATAATCTTCAACTTGTGTTTCTCGGATTTCCCTGGCTGACTTGGCAACAGATTCGTTGCATTCCGTTACCTCAATGTACTTAAGGGAAGAGATGTCCCCTAAACTAGAAGGGATCTCCTTAAGTGATCGACAACTATCCAGAAACAGCTGTTCAAGGTTAGGAAATGCATCATCCGCGACAGTCCATTCTTCAAGGGGACAATGTCTTTGTAGTTTCAAGACTTTGAGCTGAGGGAACTCGCCATTGTTCACCTTCCATTTACTAGGATAGCCAAATCTAACATAGTAAAGTTTGAGTACCTGAAGGTTCTGAAGCTGAGCAATTGCTGATAAGTTTTGAGGATTCAGGCGAAATCCAGATATTGTCAAGCTTTTGAGATTTGGGGCAGATATACAAAAGGGTATGTTCTCACTGGAATATCGTACTTTATAAATCCGTAGTATCTCAAGTCGTGTTGGAAAATCCAATATATGGTACCCATCGCTTAACTCACCCTCGACTTCACAACTCAGTTTTCGAAGATTATGTTGTGATTCTCGGATCAATATGAAGATTATTTGGGAGGAAAAATAACTCTATTTCACAAGAATAGAATTATAGAGAATTTACACCAAGAATTTCTCTCTACAAAAAACCTCACCAAACTCTCTTTTGTTCTCACAATCTCTTCCTGGATCGTATTTCAATCTCTCTGGATTGATGTTTCTGTGTAAAACATAAGACTCTATTTATAGCCTTAAAGAAGATGGTTGGTGGTTGAATTCTTCATTCAACAATGGAGGCTTCAACAATGGTAGCTTCTAGAATGGGTTGGTGGCTTCAACAATGGTGGGCTTCTAGAATTGGTAGTTGGCAGCAG